AAAGATTTCCTATTTTACAAACGAGCGATTCCCATCATAACTTATACCTTTTTTATCCCAATCTTCTTTTCTATTTTTGCTGTCTCTGTCTAAACTTGCTGCTGATTTCATGGTTTTTGTAGTTTTGGATGATTCACAAGGTTGGATATAACTTAACAGACAAAAAAAATTTCCTATTTTACAAACAAGTTCTTCCAATCATAAATACATTAATTTTTTTATTGACTCTCAAGACAGTGTTTCTAATTCTACTCTTTCCTTCTAAACTTGCTGCTGATTTCAGGTTTCTTGTAGTTTTGGATGATTCACAAGTCTGGATATAATTTGACAGACAACAAAATTTCCTATTTTACAAACGAGTTCTTCCAATCATTAATTTTTTTTATTCGCACTTTTCTATTTCTACTGTCTCTTTCTAAGCTTGCGGCTGATTTCAGGGTTTTTGTTGTTTTGTATTCACAAAGTTAGATAGATATACCTTAACAAGCAACATAAAAAAACCCTTAGAGGGATTGTAAAGATGTTTTCTAATAAAATTGTATGTGTATCGGGAACACTGATAGCATCAGTTTCCAACATTCCAATTTTCATTCCGATGTCTGTGGTTCTTGCAATTCCACTAAAATTAACGCGTTTTATGGCATCACTAGAGGAGAACTGCACATGTAGATATCAATAGTAGCTTCTGGTAGCTCCCCTCTAGTGACATCATAAAACGCGTTAGTTTTAATGGAATTGCAAGAATCACAAACGTCGGAATGAAAATAGGAATAGTGCAAATTGAAGCTATCAAGCTAAAAAATAAAAGAATTCCTAGTAAAAAAAAAAGTCTGGAATCCCTGATTGACGGCATTCTCATATATTAACTTGACGCTTTCAATGGACTTTGTATATTGTGAAGAATGCAATATCAGCATTAAAATGAATTTCAATTATAAATCATAGAAAATAATTTCTGTTCATAAACTAATCATCATAAATCTCACATACGCCTTTGTTTCCGTGTTTAGTCGGTGAAAACTGTGTTTCGGTAGTTTCGATGAACATAAAATACAATATTTCATATTTTAAAGATGGATGAAACTAATAAGTGAATAATTAAAATAAAATAAAGTATAAATATTGTAAAGATATTGTAAAGTATAAATATTGTAAAGTATAAATATTGTAAAGTATAGTATAAATATTGTAAAGTATAAATATTGTAAAGTATAAATATTGTATATTGTAAAGTATAAATATTGTAAAGTATAAATATTGTATAGTATAAATATTGTAAAGTATAAATATTGTATAAATATTGTAAAGTATAAATATTGTAAAGATATTGTAAAGTATAAATATTGTAAAGATATTGTAAAGTATAAATATTGTAAAGTATAAATATTGTAAAGATATTGTAAAGTATAAATATTGTAAAGTATAAATATTGTAAAGTATAGATATTGTAAAGGGGGATCCTCAGAGTCGACC